AATACATTTTTCAGTAGCTTTATTATCACAATCCATTGATAAGTTTATTCATAGTAAATATAGGAACAGTAAACGTATTATAGGAGGACACTCACAGAGAGATGGATTCCCTTCGATTTACAGAATGCATGCAATTTTGGTTGCTGCCACACAGGGTGGCATTCCACTTGGTTGACAGCAGGAACAACACGTGCTACTTCCAACAGATCTCCAAGCTTTTTTACAGAGAAGTTACTAACACCAATAGCTCGAGCCTTGCCAGAATCATACAAAGCTTCCATTGCTCGCCATGTACTAGGTATGTCTGGTGTTGTAAGAAATTCAGGATTAAAGCCAACTGATCCTTTTTTCATGCTGACTGGCCAGTGGATCTTCAAAAATTTTACTCAACTTGTTAGCAAGGAGGTCAATATGTAAAGAGAGACAGAAAGTTAAAGATAGGTGACTTAAATGACTTGAGCAGCACATATTCATGAGAGAAAAACTGAGAAAAACGAATTTATTTGATGATTAAGCAGAAAAACTAAAGCTCAATTATGACACACGTACTAGATACAGATCCACATAGTCAAGCTGCAAGTCTCTCAAAGTTCGGTTCAATGCCTCGGGTACATCTTCTGGTGCATGATCTGTATTCCTGTAGATTATTGGATTTTTGAAAATGTTATATCATTAACTAATAGACATTTGAACATTGCCTCAAAATGTAAGTTCTCAATTCATAATCTCAACCAACATAAGACATATAAGAAACCAAACAAAGATTAGGTTAGGTAAAAAGTGGAAAAAGGAACAAACCAGAGCTTAGAGGTAATCCACAAATCTTCACGTTTCACAACACCATCTTCAAAAAGCTTCTTTAATGCATCCCCAATCTACACAGAGGAATGGAATATTGATGAGAATCCCGAATGCAGAAAAAATAAGACAAGCAGCCATTTTAGGACATGTAGTAGATTTTCAAATCAGAAAATTATATATAAATTCGTTTTACCCTCCAAGAGACAGGAGTTTCTGAGACTCTACGCTAATAAATTAGGCTCATAATCTGAAGTTTTAGAATCTATGTAGCACCCGGAAAGGAGAAGAAAAAAAAAGGGCGGCCACGTCAGCAGCCACGTCAGCAGGCCCGGTCAGCAGTCCCGGCCAACCAGGGCCTGCCACGTGGCAAGACCGCGTCACTCCAAAAGGAGCCACGTTGGCGATCCGCATGGGTGCGATCCGACGGCCCAGATCAATCACGCGATCGGACGGCCCAGATTCAATCGCACGGACGGCCCAGATTCAATCAAAAATGAACGGCCCAGATTAAAACAAAATGAACGGCTGCGATCAAAAGGCAAGGGGTTATAAATAGAACCTCCACACCAGACCACAAACCCTAGCCGCCAGCCGCTCGCCGGAGAAGACGAACCAGAGGCCGACCGCCGCCACCCGCCGCCACTCGCCGCCGCACCGGGGAAATTTCCGACCGCCGATCGAGGTAAATTTCATACCCCCGACTCGTTTTTCCCCACTGATTCCTCCTATGGCCAAATCGAAGCCGAAATCCCGGCCAAACGGCCGGAATACGCGGCCGAAGCCCAGCGGCACCGCCGCGCCCCCTCTCGGTTTTTGCCTCCGACGAGGCCCTTCCCGGCCTCCGTTCGATGCAATTTTTATATCACCGTGATCACCATTCTTTTCTATACAGGTTGACCGAAGCCAAATCACCAAAACACGAATTCGCCGGAGAGTCGCCGTACCCGAGAGCGCCGCCGCCGGTAAGCTCCGTTTTTCCGTGATTTTTTGGCCCCCCGAGGGCCCTAGGGTTGTTTTCTGACAAGGACCAATGCGAGTGTGGCCGAATTCGGCCAAAAACGGCCGAAAACAGTCAACCCGAGGCGACTCGCCGCCGCCAGCGGCGGCGCCGTCGCCGGAGCACGGCGGAGCCGCCGTGCCGGAGTTGCGATTTGGGCCGAAAGAGGCCCTGGGCCTAATTTGGATTTTTTTTGGAACCCGTGCAGGTACTGTGAGCGTGTTTCAGTTCCCCGGGAAAAATTCAGGGGAAAATTAGGGACAGCCTGCAGGCGCACTGTGAATCGTATTCGGATCCCGAAAACAGGTAAGGACCCCTCACCCTATTTCCTATCACGGTATTAAAGTTCAAAATGATAAAACAGTATTTCTTGAATTAACGCATGTGTGAAATTGCTTAAGGTTGCTGATGGAGCCCGAGTCTAGTGTGATTGATGATTTACTGTTATTTGGCCTGTTTACAGCTTTAAATGCAAAATGAGGTTTGATGTGTTCATTTTACAGATTTGTGTGCATGCACTACGTTTTTATTAATTATGGGTTGAATGACTGAAAAACTGATACTGTATGTTGTCTGTTTGGTATGAATTACGATTTGCTTGTTTAAATGTGAATTGATGATGCTGATTGAGGAAAAGGAAAAATGAAAAATTGTGTAAACTGATAATTGTATTATGGGGGTCAGCCTGACTAGATATCCTGGGAGATGGTGGACGGACCGGGTCCGTAGGGAACCCTACCGGGATTGTGGTCTCACATGCCGGACGGGGTATGGAGATCTTATGGTTTTGGCGCCCATACCGGACGGGGTATGGGGACGGCCCGTTTCACCCTCATACCGGACGGGGTATTGAGGTTTATGGTTTTGGCGCCCATACCGGACGGGGTATGGGGACGGCCCGTTTCACCCTCATACCGGACGGGGTATTGAGGTTCATGGTTTTGGCGCCCATACCGGACGGGGTATGGGGACGGCCCTGGAAACTGATTATGAATGTTAAAGGTTAACGGGTAGCGGAACCCCTATGGACCCCCACGGATACTAGTAGGCTGGTAAATGAGAAAAAAGATATGTTGTACAATGATTGAATTACAAGAGGCGTGATAAGTGTTATGTTTTACAGCTTAGATTGTTCAATGATTATGATAATGTTATTGTTTTTCTCATATTGTTTTTCATAAATTCCACCAAGGTAAGTGGATGGTAAAAGTTTTATTATTGATAAAAGGTTTTGTTGTTAATAAACGAGTTTATTGTAAATTATGCTCCATTGGTCTTTTTGTGGTTTTCTACCCACCTTTATCTCCGTGACGGTGAGATATCGTGATGTTCTTACTGGGCTAGTGTAGCTCACTCCTTAATTAACCATTTCAGATCAGGAAGACATGGTTCCCGAGCCCGTTCCGCAGGAGGACGACGAAGGGGATGCCTAGAAACTCTGTAGTCATACGCATAGTTTATTTTCGAGTTTTCTTTCTTAGTTAGTTTAACCTTTTATATTTTAAGTACGTTTGTTTGGTTTTTCGTGTAAGGGATGTTAAATGAAATTTTGATCTCGCTTCCGCATTTGATATATTTAAATACTCATTTCATTTTAATATTTCCGGGGCCGTTACAATCTACCTTTTAGAAACACAAAATAGTACATTGAATTGCCATCAATTATCAAGGGTGACTAAAAAACTATCCTAATTCTTCATGATTATCTTCAATTTATTCTAACAACTTCCTTTTTCTTAAGCTTGGGCAAAAATAAACAAGCACAGAAGAAAAGAACGAAACATAGGATAACAATAACAAAATATCAGGGTATAGAACAGCAATTAAAGGAATTGTTACCTCCTTCTCGTTGCGATAAGCTGCCGCACAATCAATGTGCCTGTACCCAGCCTGCGCCAATACAGACTACATTCAGCTGCTGGTTACACAATAAACTGATCGACGCTAGTGGATTACTCGACTAACCCTTACACATAAGCTTCCTACTTAGATATACATATATGTAAAGACATACAAACACAGATATAAACAACTAGTTATATTAGATTTGGAAAATCTAGCATGGTACCAAACACGATCTTCATACACGTAAAAAAAAAAAAAAATCCTAATAATTACATAAGTTCCATTAGATTTAGAAACTTCTCAATTTAATTAGTCACTGTTTTATTTAGGGAAGATTCATTAGTTACTGTTCCATCAGATTCATTTTAGGGATAATTACTGCTTGTTTGCTGTATCCTGAATCTAAGAGTTATCCCAAATAATTTTGATACCAAGTCATCATCAATTTCAGCTTGCTTTTCTGTTCGGGAGGAAAGAAAGAGCACCTTAATGGCAGCGGTAACTGCATCGGCGACTTGACCAGGACCAGCCTGAAAGGTGCCCAGCCCAACGGAAGGGATTTTAGCTCCCGTGTTCAGTTGAAAGTAACGAATTGAATTTGCCATTTCTCACAACAGAAGATAGACTCTGCAACTGCAGCGAAACGGATTACACATTCATCAATAACAAATTATTCAAGGCAAAAGAAGAAAGACAATAGAGTTTCGTAATCAACGAAGGAGAAGAAAACCTTCACCCACCCGAAAATCACTCTCTGCGAAGGAAGAAATTATGGTTGTCCTTGGAAAATATTTCGGAGCTTTTCTGTTGACAATCCGCTATATATAGAGATGGAAAAGGTTTGGGAACGGGATCTGTCCTAAAATTAGTGAATTTCATTTTATGTAAATTATTATTTTTTAATTTTATTATCGTGCTAATTATTTTTTTAATGAAATAACACTCTGTTGGAATTACATTAAAAAATTTATCCGTCCTATTTAGAAAATATGGTTTTTGATTTCTGGAGTTTGAGAGTCATTTGGTTTTTATTTATTTTAAATACGTTATTTTTATTTATTTAAACTTATAAAATTATTATGTGATGTTATATTGGTTTTGTTTAAACGAAATTTATTACATTAATTTTATAAAAATAAAAATAATATAACCTCTGGATCATATAGTATTTTTTTACTTTTATAAAATTATAAATTAAATATTCGACTGTTACCTATGGCAAGAGTATTATATATAGTATTTTTAAAAAAAAACTTAAAACTTTATAAAAATTATAAATTATAATAATTTTAAATTTTTAAAAATTAAATTGTATATAAACAAATTTAATATTTAATTATTGATATTAAACTATTAAAAATAAACTGAAGATTGTTCAATTTTGGTGGCGTAGACTGGAGGCATCATAATGGTCAGAGTTTTCAGCTCTTTTATTGAAATGGAATATGGTTTTGTTGGGCCCTAAGGGTGGGTAGGTGGCTGCGTTGGCTTTGTCATTTTCCTTTTGCCAACTTCATTCTCAACTTAAACATATATATATATATATAAATATACACACACATTCATGGAAATATATATATATAATAATACTAACAGTTTACATCAATACAAAATTAAGTTCATCTTGCTCGCCATCAACATCTAATTTACGTAACATAATACGTTTATACAAAAGTAAATGACTTGAAATGGAATTTTGTTTTTATTCTTATAAAAACAATTTCATATTTATCTTTAAAATATTAAATATGTGAGATGGTTTTTTTTTAAGATTAATGAAAAATGAATTAAACTTTTTCTAATGCTATTAAAAAATGTCATTCGTTTATATTTTATAAATTTATATATATTACAGTATAATTTTTCATTTTTCACATTTTCAAATAATGATAAAAACACTGGTGGAGAATGATAGATATCCAACTTAGTTTACGATGAAGGCAAATCTTGTATGTGAGATTAATAATACGAGCATATAAGGATTTCTCTAATACATTTAAGTAGTATAGTTTATTTCTGTCGTCAAAGTATATATTTATTTTTTTTAAATTTTAATCCTAAAAAGTATAGTAAATGTAGTACTCGAGGTTAAAATTTGGTATGAGATCAATTTTTATATTTATAAAAATAATAAAAAATATTATTTATTAAATTATTTTAAAAAAATAGATTATAGACGAAATTAAAAGTAATTTTGAAAAAGATTGATTAAAATTTGAGTTCGAT